AAGAAATAAATTCATTGCTAGAAAAACTTGAAAGTAAAAGGTAGGCCAAAAACCTAACTGAGATTAAATCACAAGAACCGATGATTATTTTTTTTTAACCAATCTATATTTTGGCTTCTTTGACACAATGGTAGGGCTTCTTTTACAAAACCATATGCAAGTTTCACAGTAATTAGTCCCCTTTCTTAAGGTTTTATCCTATGAACAATAATAGGTCAATTTGATCACACTTTTTTCTTTCTTTTTTAAACCTTGCAAGTTGGACTGTTTTCTAGGGCAATGTTCAAGGGATACAAAGATGTTCAAGAACCCAAACTGAGCAATCATCTGAGCTGTACCACTATCTGATCCTGTCCTGTTGCTGGCATCTTTCTAACCCTTTAACACTCAGCCATAAATTAAGAGCAACCTGAGCAGGAGTGACCACAGAGTTTTTAAAGCTGTTTACTTGTTCTCCAGGCTATTAAAGCACAGGAGCTGGACCAACTGCCACATTTTACCTGCCTTATCATCTAGAGAATATCCTCCAGGTTAACAATTATTAAAGCTTCCCTTGTGCCAGAAAAGAAAAATCCACTCTCTACACTGAACTCTGAAATTATCCTACCTCAGTAAAAAGTATCAACCAGAATGGATGCAGTTAACCTAATAATTAATAGGTTCTTAAAACTGAAGGTTGCATACACCTGAAGAGGAAGACAGGCAAGAACGGCACACCAAGTGTTTAAGCAGACAGAAACGATGCCTAACTTTTAGACAAAAATCTGACTTTAGCGTCTGCTTTAAAGTTAGATTTCTTATGCAATTGATTTACAACATGCTACCAGGATCAGTTCATGCTTTTTGCTTGCACTTTTTTGGAGGAAAGTTCCATATAACAGGACTGAAAATTAACAGAAGTTACAGAAACAGAAGAGGCTGCTCTTCCAAAAAGAGTGCAGAGTCAATGCAGTAAAGCATTGCTTATCGAATTATTTTTATCTGAATGAATTTTTTACATTTATGTGAGTTGGTAGAAGACTAGTGTTTTGCTGCATTTAGTTTTTAAAAAGTAACTGAAAGGTAGTACATATACCTTAGCATGACATTTGAATTCATTGCCATGGACCTTAAGCCATTCAAAGAGAACAAACTGATGTGTATCACTACATAACTAAATCTCGACCAGATGGCTAGCTTATAAAACTTGCAATATTCTATTTACATACTGTGCAAAAGTACTATTTTAGTGTATAAAATCTGTACACTGAATACAATAAAACTTCACCTTGCACTGGAGAAAAATAAATGAGGCCACACGCCTAAAGAGCATGGATCTCAAATAAAACTTTCAGAGAATTAGAGCTGAACCATCTTCCAAAGCCAGTGTTATTTTGGTAAGAGTGGCATGTGTTTGGCTTTGAGTTGTGCTTTTTTTATTTTGTCCAGCTTATTTTGTAGTTTTACCATTTCTTCAGTTAGGGAAAAAAGAAAAGCAAGTTTCTTCCCTTAGTAGGTAAAAAATTCAGCAAAAGATTTTTAAAAAGATAGATATAGACAGATAGATAGATAGATAAGTACACACAGCTATAGCTACATGTATATAATATATATACATGTATATACACACGTATATATTGTGTTGGGCTGGATCAGAGCAAAGGTTTGTCAAGGCAAGTTCCCTTCTTCTAACAGTGGCCAACAGGTGATGCCTCCAAGGTGAATATTATCCATTATTCTGACGTGATAAAAGGATAAGTCTGTTCTGCTGGAAATTTCATTCCATAATAACATCCAATTTCAATCACCTTAAACAGTTTTGAAATTACACTCATAGATGTTTTCTTATGTTTTTAAAAAAGGGGGGAAGAAAATGCAATGCAGTGTGACTGTTTCACATAATGAGTACATAAACGTCAGGTGGAAAGACTCTAAGTGTAAAAATTAAGTTTGTCTTACAAGAACAAAAAAATAATGTGCTAACTTCTGCCTGTATGCTACTGCAGTAATTAACAACACAGGATTTCTACCGGGTTGCAACGAGGTGTGACATTAACTGCAGAAAACTACTTCATGTTCAAGAACAAATGATTTATTTTCCAAGCGACAATCTGTGGGCAGGAACACGGAGTTCCAGCTTCCCCAAACCTGTGTGTGTCATCTTTCTCATCACAAGGTGCAGAGCATTTTGAAGGTACGGAAAACACAAAATGGGTAACATGCCACCTGCAGGGTATTATTTGGTGATCTTCACCAAACACTGAAGCTGATACCTGCCAGAGAGCTGATAAAGCTTCCGAAACTAATCAAAACAGAAGCTAATGCCCCAGGGCATTATAAACAAGGTCTTTCAGGTCGCATCTTGAAAAACGTTATTTCTGAGACAAATAAAGGACTTTCACTTGAGCAGAAGCAGTGATATGGAGACTGCAAGCCTCAGCCATACACCTTCTGTAAGACGTCACTTCCCCACCTGACAGCTACAGAGGACTTTAAACGATGAAAGGGAAGAGACTAAATGGAAGCCTATCTCTAATTCAGTTCCTCTACTAATCAAGCATAGAAAGTGCAAATTGAAGGTAGCATACATCTATCAGAGTATCTTAAAATAAAGCTTACAGAAAGCACAGCCAAAACTGAAACACGGCTACACAACTGTAGCCAGTATGACCCAGAGGGCATAGCATGCTCAAGAACATTTACAGAAACCGAAATGCCCATTCAGACTGGTATAATCTATGCAGCAGGCGAATTTCCAGAGAATCAAGTTATAACTCAACAAGGGAGAATATGTAGCAGTCCTCTGACATGGAAGAAAAAGAAGTAATGATCAGAAGAGTACGTAGCAAGGGCATCTGCTATACAACATCAGGACTAGAAAAAAAATGAAACCCAAAACCCCTCGTCAATTCAAGTGTAATTCAAAACCAGAGAATGACAAATTCCTGCAACTAACCACACAGACATATGCTCAATGAAATGTGCATCAGAACATCTCCTGCCTGAGGCAATGTATTCAGGCTCTGGGAGAAGGGGGGCAGCTTGATCATATCTCTGCCTTGGACGTCTGAACTTAGGTCTGCCTGGCAGGACCAGGTGTGACCTGCAATCAGCAGAGGGCTAACACCACCTTTTGCTGTGAAGATCTGCTCTTCCCTCTTCATTGACATGAACGCTGACATTATTCCACAAGTTATTCCTTGCCAGGTGCTCTCCAGATCACTCCTCATAAGGAAGAGTCAAAAATGACTAACAATGCCTCCAAGCAGAAGGAAGAACTGAGCTCACTGAACAGAGCTACAAAAACCAGGGAGAATTACAGGAAGTTGAGAAATGAGAATTGTATTTCAGGAAATTCCTATGCACCTACTTTAACACGTGAGACATCCCCAGCAAGTCTGTGTGAGCCAGCATAGGAGAAGATTACCAAAAGTGTATGTTTAACTAGGGCTTTAACCAGCAGCATAGTAGAACAGGAAGCATTAACATCATTTATGTAAGAAAATACTGGGATCATAGGAGATTGCATGGACGCAGTAGAGTACCAGCCCTCTAGAAAAGAACAAGATGCCAATAATACAGTTTCAAGAAACGTCTGCTTCAAAATTTGGGAAGCAAAGCAAATAGAACCCTTCAGTTTTAATAGGAAAAAAGTACATAAAGCATTAAGAGAAATTAGTAATAGTTTCTAAGAGGAACAAGATAAGAACAGCAAAGATGGGGAGCGAGTTAATACCACAAAAAAGTTCAGAAAAGACTTTCAAAAAAAGTCATTTAAATTGACAGTTGTGGTGCCAAACAATAATCAGGCATCATGCACAAGTAAACACAGTGCAAACCGCTCCATCCATCCATCCATCCTTAATGACTGAAAAAGTTTTATGGTAAGAACTCCTTGTTCTGGAGTCATCTGGAACAGTTGGAGACATCTTTGGCAGCAGCTATATAATGCCAGGCGATGATGAAAAAGCAAATTCCTTTTTGCTACAGATGGATACATTTTAAAATGTAACCTTTTCTAAAAAGGATAGTCCCCTGGAGGCGTGTCATCTTATCCGTTAAATTCACATGGGTTAAACAAAGCTCATCTACAGAAAATGAATCTCTTGTCATTTCTTCTTAGAAGTCTGACAGAATTCAGTCAGACTTCTGTAGGGAGGACAGAAGATCTCCAGAAGATAGAGCAAAACACAGAAGAAAGAAGAAAAAAGAAAAGGCAATCAACCTTTTAAATTATCTCAAGCCAACTAAGATTTGAAGTGTTACATCCATTCTGTTTAGATCTGTAGTCTTCAACTCAAAGGTCACATTATTATGGATTTTTCTCGCCAAAGCATAACAGAAATAGTTTTTCAATAATTTTGAAGGTCTTTTGGGGAAAATCTGTTCTGGGCATTATTCATGAAGGATATGATATTTTATTTATCTAGTTTCTTTCAAAATACTTGAGAATAAAACAACAATGATGATGTTATCGCCAAACCCTTCTCAGTTGTTTCTCTTCTCTCACACACGCAGCTTCTGACATGGAAATAAATGTTATTTTTACTACTTGATTTTAAAAAGAGAATTTTAAAATGTAAACAAAATCTGTCAAATCTGATTTGTTTCTCTAAAACCTAAATCTAAAAATCAAAAAGGCAATTCATGTGGTTTCCTAAACTTCATGGGAAAGAATTCCTCTTCAAAAATAAGCAACCCTCTGCAAAATTTGCAACATAAACATTATAGCAGCTGTAATGCCATACCAGGATCAGGAGAGGAAAATGCTTAGAAATCCCATAAGGTACCCTAGGTAATATCTGAGAAGAATTTAAAAATATATTATTTTTCAAGTTTATTTTCTTATTCTATTTTATACATAACACTACAAATATATATGGGAAACATCTTTAATAGCAGCCATGAGCTTTTCATTTTATTTCCAAGTAATCAATTCCTTCTTAAGCAAGAAAACATTTGTTTGATGTTATTAATTTCACCATTTAGTACGCGCACAGGTGTCAGGACTGTGGACTTACAGAGCTGGGGCTGGAGTGCCGCCTGACTTTAGGTGATTCCTTCCCTGCAGATGAAGTTTTGAAGTTAATGCAAGCGTTGTTCTCTGAATGAACCCTCTTCACTTGATTAGTTGGTTTCTCAAATGGATCAAAACTACTCTGCGTCCTCTGAACCCGGACTTTTTTATCCTCAGGAATTGTATCCAGAGGTTTGATCACTGAATCCATTCCCTGGCAGTTCCGTGTAGACATCTTTGTGACACATATCTGAAAGGAAAAAACAGCATTTATTGACTTTAACAGGCTTTAAAGTCTGTGTCAATCCATACCTCAGCCAGCATCAAAAAAGGCATTGGACTTCATAAGCATTCATCTTCTATTTCTACATTAAAATTGCAAACACCACATGCATTTTACATAGGACACACACTCCACAGTCATAATAATAAAAAGCCCGTCTTTGTACAGTGTATTAAAAGATCCTGACAAAGAAAGACAAAAGAGGAACACACATAAAATTTATAGATTTGTGTTTTCTCGTACAATGTGTTCTTAGGAACAATGCCACTTCACTTCTTTCTCCAATCTAGCCACCGATATCCGCAAACGGTACTGATTTCCATTTGTTCAAAATTGGATGAGACTAAGCTTAAATAAATGATGGTAGCTTGTGCGTGCACTTTGGTGCTAGCCTGCCAAAGATTCAATACCGGTATATTACTGTATTTTTAAATAATGCTTATACAGTGTTGTTGTTATTATTATCACCATATGTCTCAGAAAATCAAATCAGTAAATCAATTCCCAGGCACTGAAACATGAGACTGCGGCTTAATGGCACACTAAAGCACAGAAGTTCAATTCTTTGTTACTGTGAAGTATGACTCTGCCAAGCCCTAAGACTGCAACTTGCTGCTTGAGCTACCAAAATACACTATTGCTAGTTCAAAAGAACTAAATGAGCAGAACAGTGAGTTTAGATACTCGTCATGTACGTTTATGTTCTTAACTTTAATACATTCCAACGTATAAGACATTTTTTTATATCACACAGTTGGGGGGTTGTATCTAAGGCCTCAGCTTCTGTTTTCACCCATAAGAGATTCAACTTTTACTTGGTAAGAAAAGAAATAATTCTAGCTTTCAGGCTACAGGGAAAAGCTATGAAGTGTGATGCAAGCAGATCCAAGAGGCTTCTTAAATTATAAGGCACATCAAAAGAATCTACAATGTACTTTTTCCATGGTATTCGCAAGTATTTAAGGACAGACAGTGTTAATTTGCTGTCAACCATATTGTTCACATACATACAATTAAAGAAGCATAATGTTCCATTTCAAGCACCTACAATCTAAGCAGTTTTGAAAACTTGCTGTCATAAAATAGTTAACATGAAAAAAATAAAAAGAAATATTTACCATTACCATTTAATCAGGACTCTTCCCCCATAACTCAAAGTGTCTCCAATACAAACTTCTCCAATAAATTATTCTTTGCCATTTCCCCGGAGGAATTCTCTGCCTTGAAATCCAACTTATTTCAATTGTTTATAGAAATACTGCGTGACTATACCTTGTGTTTTTTATGTTTTGTGGTTTTGATGATCCACTGTAACAGTAGATCAAAGATTTCTTTTGTACATTAAAAATTTAAAGCACATTTCCTGCCCAGCGCCATCTGGCCAAACGATCATACACCAGGTCAACTCTAGTGAAGGACATGACTAGCATCACAAACCAGACTTTACAAGGGTTTACATTTCTTCTCATTAAAGTGGTTTCTCCAAGACCAAAACTTAACCAAGTTTTAACTGAGAAAAGAAACAGCCCCCTTCATTCTGAATGATAATCCCTCTCAGGCCAAAATTAAGGCAATTATGTAATTTTGGTCTATTACTTCAGAGAGAAAAGATATATTACTTCAGAGAGAAAAGATAAAGAGCTGCTGCACAAAGAATTTTTAATTAGCCTTCTTGTAAAATTAATTGGCTTCTTTTTCCCTAAAACAACTTATATGCACCGACATGCACCCACATGCTTCCCACTGTCCTCTCCAGATCCGTGTTCTTGCGATGCTTGCTACCAACAAAGATGTTTTAACACAATGTAAACTGAAATTACTATTAAAATAGCAGCACTTCCATTTTGCTTAATCGACATGGATGCAAATAAATCAGTAAGTATTTCTCAGCCTATGCAATCCTATGATCTAGAAAACAGGGGCAGGAGATAGGGAGGAAAGGTTCAAAAGCTGTACTTGTCTTCCTTTCAAATTACCAAAGGCCATTTGTAGCCAGTTAAAATGTTTGGAATCCACAGCTATAAACTTACTATAGATAATAATGCCATGCGTGCTGCTTTTAGTTTCTTTTTCCACTGGAAAACCTCCATGTCTAGCTCTAATGTGGGCCAAGTAAGCATTGCATTAAAAAAAAAAAAAAAAAAAAAAGGCAAAAAATTTGTTAATAT